GACAGGGGAGAGAAAATATAATGAAAAAGCTCGTGGGTCGAGATAAGGACAGGGAGGGATCACTCAGCAGTTACTGTCATGGGCAAAATAGACTCAACTTGGGGAAAATCAGTTTATTTTATTACCAATCAAAACTGAGTAGGAGAGAGGAGTGAGAGCATGTGTAGGGTAATGAGAACATGTGTAGGGTAATGAGAAATAAAACCAAATCTTAAAACATCTTCCCTCCACCCCTCCCTTCTTCCCAGGCTCAATTTCACTCCCAATTTTCTCTCCCTCCTCCCCCCAAGCAGCACAGGGGGACGGGGAATGGGGGTTGGGGTTAGTTCATCACGTGTTTTCTGTGCCGCTCCTTCCTTCTCAGGGGGGAGGACTCCTCACACTCTTCCCCTGCTCCAGCGTGGGGTCCCTCCCATGGGAGACAGTCCTCCACAAACTTCTCCAGTGTGGGTCCCTCCCACGGGGTCACAAGCCCTGCCAGCAAACCTGCTCCAGCCTGGGCTCCTCTCTCCACAGGTCCTGCCAGGAGCCTGCTCCAGCGTGGACTTCCCACGGGGTCACAGCCTCCTTCGGGCACATCCCCCTGCTCCGGCGTGGGGCCCTCCCCGGGTGCAGGTGGATCTCTGCTCCCCCGTGGGCCTCCATGGGTGCAGGGGCACAGCTGCCTCAGCAGGGGCTGCACCAGGGGGAATCTCTGCTCCAGCGCCTGGAGCACCTCCTGCCCTCCTTCTTCACTGACCCGGTGTCTGCAGGGTCGTTCCTCTCACATATTCTCACTCCTCTCTCTGGCTGCAGTTGTGCAGGCATTTTTTTCCCCCCTTCTTAAATACGTTATCCCAGAGGCGCTACCACTGTCACTGATGGGCTTGGCCTTGGCCAGCGGTGGGTCCGTCTTGGAGCCAGCTGGCATTGGTTCTGTTGGACATAGGGGAAGCTTCTAGCAGCTTCTCACAGCAGCCACCCCTGTAGCCCCCCTGCCACCAAAACCTTGCCATGCAAACCCAATACGGTGGGTTATTTGCTGAGCCATGCCCAGGCACCATGTGGGAGAGGGCTAGGCCATATGGACCAGGAGGTGTGTTAGCAATGAAACAGATGGTCATGGGCAGGGCCAGTGTCCTGGCTCTGTTTGGGCCACAGCTGAAGAAAAGTCCTAAAATCCTAAGGTCCCCAAGGGTGAGCAGTATAGAAGAGAAGACAGTGCAGAGGCAGAAAGAAAATACTAGAGAGAGGGTTGAGGACAGAGGATATGATATTGGCACTAATGGTTGCCGCAGGCTGCAGTGGTGAGGCTGCTTAAGGTGTGGGGCTTTTGTTTGGGTTTGGTTGTATGTTTTTAAGTCTTGTGCTGTAGACTAAGACCAGGAATTGAAAAGGTGTGCAAGTGGCTTAAAGCTGGCATAACTTCTCTACTGCAGAATGTATTGTGAGCTGCTTAGATATGGGCTTCCCATAGAGTATTGCTAAATGTGAGTATGTTTCTGATAAGATTTTAGCTTAGTAGAACTGGCTTGGCTTTTCCTTGATTCGTTTCACTATTTAGAGAATTCTCCACTTTTCCTTTCAGTTCCCTGTTAGGTCTGTAATTTCACGCTGCTGGGGTTGATCACATGTCATGTTACTGTGGGCAGTAGCTATGAAAAATTATGACCCTTCTCATGAGCATCAAAGGAAACAGGGATGAAAAGTAGCCCAAACCAGTACTTAGAAAGGTAGGAAAAAAGCAATCCTTAGACAAATTTGGTGGCTGCAAGGTGCTGTACTGTCTATATGAATTTTTGCTTAGTGGACACTCGGCATGAGTGTCTTGTCTTTTTTCCATGAATAGTAGCCGAGAAAGGAAGTGTAAGACTTCCCACCCCGCAAACAAATGCCAGTGTTTGGGAGTTGGCTTGCTGTATTCCT